AATTTTGGTTGATCCTTTTATGTGACTTTTTGGGTGTTTTCATAAGATCAGGACCCATTAAATTTTTATCAAGTTAGAACTTTCTTATGTTATACTATGAAGTTATGAAATGCTTTGTTAATTAAGTTTTTTTTTTTTTTTGGATAATTTGGATTATTAGATTTGCAGCGACGAGAACCAAGTTAATGCTTTGCTTTAGCAACTTTCACTCATCTCAACTAGATTTTTTAGCAATAAACCAATTGTGTGGCTGCGCACGGGGCACCAGCGTGTGTGCCTTCGTGCACGCTGACGGAGGCACATCGTGCCTCCGTACGTGTGCACCAAGGCACGCTGCGCACGGGGCACCAGCGTACGGAGGCACAGCGTGCCTCCGCATGCATGCCTCCGTCCGCGTGCTATACTTCAATTTCTCGATGAAGAGAAATTCAAAGAGGCAGTCACAAGTAAGATTTCAATTTTCCAATTTTCTTTTCCGGTTTAATTCCAAAGTTCTGGCTATTGACAAATTGAGGAAAAAGAATTTAAAAAAGATGATTCTTCACTCTCTTTCAAAGAAATTTTTGTAGATTCGCGCTTCGAACTGGTTGACGGTTTAGAGCAAGAAGAATGTTACTGCTATTCGAAACTCCAATGGGTTTTTCCCTTTCCAAAGTCTTGGATGAAGGCAAGGTATCCAAAGTTGATGTATTTTTCTTTGTAATTTTTTTTTTTTTAAATTCTCCCAGTTTCCTTCATTGTTGCAACTTCATAATTCATTCTTCTGATGTATGAGTGATTTGATAATTATTTTTTTGGCTTGTATTACAGGACTTGTGGAAGGAGTTCTCTACTGCAGCATTTATGACAAGAATTAAATCTAGCAGATCAGTTCAACTTCAGAGTCCGCAATTTTGATGAAGAGGAGCCAGAGAAGGTGAAGATTTCTTTATATTTTATGTGGCTTGGCATTTAAATTAACTAAACAAGTAAAGTTTTGGACTATCTCAGGAAGTAGAGCCATTAGAATCAGCTACATCCAATACTGCTGAGGATTCATCTTTAGAGCCACAGAATCAAACAAAGTCAGTAGGACAACCTGAATTTTTTGGATAATGACTTCTGTTTGCCTTTTTCATTTTTTTTTTCATGTCCATCCTACTGCCTTAAAAAAGATGCACTTATACACCTGTCTGTATCATGCCAGAAGTAGATCTCATTCCTGCTATACCTAAGGAAGAAGCTGGTACAAATCTTTTTAATATGGTATGTAACTTTTACCTGTTCAACAGATCTCTTGTTGATCTCCCAATTCTTTGTTTGGGATTTGTTTCTCATTATATTAAACCAAATTTCAGAACTCAGATGATAAGAATAAGGTAGATGCTGGAGGTACATGCACTCAGAAAGTTGGAAAGTGTGTTCTTGGTTCTAAAAAAAATAACATTAGACATTTGATCATTGGATAGTAGACTGACGAAAATTTATGACCCGAGATTCCTTTTATTTTAGTTTAAACCGAATGCTCTTGTTTATAATTGTCCAGTTCTTTGATTGCTATTTTACCAATTGTTTGTGAAGTGCAAAAATTATGCCTTAATTTAAAACTTCATCTCTTCAAATCTTAGGAAAAATAGATTGCATTTAA